CTGAGTCGGGAATTTGAAGCAGACATTAATAGGATGATTAGCAACTAGAAATGACTGAAGAGAATGGCTCAGGACACAGTTGAATGGAGAATGCTGGTGGGCGTCCAATGCTCTTCCACGAGGGATAACAAACGTAAGTAAGTAAGTTGTGTGATAGCAGAGCAAGATTTCGATGACAATGTACTAGCTGTTATGTGTAGACAAAATGATTTCAAATGTAAAATATAAAAATGCATTATTTTAAGTTTGGTAAAAACTACTTCTGCAAAGATTCCATATTATCTCCTTATTTCATAATGGAAAATTATTAGAACATATTAGAGCATAAGTAAAGATTAATTATTTCTATCAGTTGAAGTTGCTCAGAAGGTGTTATATCAGAAAGTAACCATGTTCCACTTTCGTTTTACCAAGTCGCAACACCTGTGATTAATGTTAGTGTCCAGCATGAAAGAGTGTTGAATAAATTGGGTGATAAGTGTTCGACCCACCTAAACTCGTGTCGCATGATAGTATCATTTATTTAATGGTCTCGAAACACAGCATATTTATGGAGTACCAAAAGTTTGTTGTGGACATCAACCAGCTAACTCAATGAAATGTTTAGCATATTGAGCTAAGGTGTTCTAGTTTTGTCAAGAGTAGATCTGAACTACTCGCACCACTGTACTGTGTATCCAACCTTTTATGACTAGACTGATGTTACGACGATGCTATGTATTACTGAGATTCACATAAACCACTTGATCGTACGCTACACAGGATAGGTTTTTCCTGTCACAAAGCCATAGGTAACCACACTATTATTTGTAAAGTCTAACCATCAAAGATGAATGGATGTAGAGTGTTTTACAAGCCATGTAATAATGCTTAACGTTTCTGCCGTTCAACGCATGTAACATGCTTATAGATGGAAACTGACGAGTATTGGTAGCGGAATCGCATTGAGTTGATTGTCACTTGCACCACGTATTTGTGTTACAGGTAAATCGGAAAACAAGTTGGTCACGAATGGATGAAACAATTTCTTTATTTAAAATGGGCCGGCTATTTTTCAGTGTTTGAAGTTCCCTTCAATAAAACTTTTTAACAGAAATGAGTTTCTGAGTAAAATATAGAATTAAATTTAAATCATTAATACAAAATGGTTTTGTGTATTATAATATAAAGTTTTTAACCAAGTGTTTACTATAGACTTACCAGTATTTCGTATCATTGTAATATGTGTGAATATTTGTGCGCATAGGCTGAATTTTATGGCCTACTCTGAGGACAATCATTCGAACTTTTGTCCTAAAATTGTAATCTACAAGATGGCAGGTGGTAATGAACGCCATTTTCTTATTTTTTGCCATTACTTGCCGTGTGCAGTCAGTTACAGTGTAGGACCAAGCACATATATGCATCGGTCCATGTTGCCATACCTCATTAACACAACAAGATGAACACCGGATTCATAAAAGTAGTTAATTCAGAGGTGGTAATATATAAAAGAAAGATTGCAATAAGGATATAGTACAGGAAGAAATAATTAGTTAGTAGAAAGTTATGAAGCGATTTTAATTTCTTAGTTTAAGGGAAGACAGATAGTGTATACACCGAAGTCATTATGATCGATTCTGAGCCATGTCACCAAGGTGTACAACCATTGGTTACGATAGTCACGCGGACCCAACCGAGTAACCTGCATCTACCAACATGGCTCAGACTAGAAGTTAGTGACTTCAAGCACTGATGCCACGTTTTGGTCTGGCTGCCACTAACTTTCTTCCAACCATCTCCAACAATGGTTAGCATTGCACGTCGTGGTAATCGGTGTTCAGGCATACGTAACACGTGGCCCAACCATCTCAGTCGATGAAGATTAACAACCTCATCAACTGATTTACCATCATTCCCTAATACCCTGCGTCTAACCGCACTATTACTTACCCGGTGATCCCAGAAGTCGCCAGCAATATTTCTGAGGCATCTGTGGTCAAATACTAGTAGCTAACAAGTGTCTTCTACTCTTAATGGCCATGTTTCGCTGCCGTAAATTAAAACAGAACGAACTGCCGCGCAGTATACTCGTCCTTTTATTGATAGACGGATATCTCGCCTTCGCCATAGGTGACGTAAGTTGGCAAAAGCCAAACGAGCTTTTCGAATCCGTGCTGAGATTTCGTCAGACACCAACCCATTAGGGCTGATCAGACTTCCAAGATAAGTGAAGTTGTCAACGCGTTCGACTACTTCACTCCCTATCCTTAGTTCAGGTGTTGACGCAGGCCAGTCCTGAAGCAACAACTTGCATTTAGAGGGAGAGAAGCGCATTCCAAACATTCTGGCATTGTTGCTCAGTGCTACCAAAGACTCTGCATTTTATCAGCGTCTTCACCAAACAGGACTATGTCATCTGCGTATTCTAAGTCGATAAGTGGACCTCCTGGATGGAGATCAATACCCGAGAATTCAGTCGACGAGAATTTTATTTCCATCAATAGGTCTATGATGAAGTTAAACAAAAATGGAGAAAGTGTACAGCCTTGACGGACACCACTTGAGGTTGCAAAATCAGATGACAGTTCGCCATAAGCTCTGACTCGACTGGTAGTGTTCGAGTAAAGAGCCTTCACAAGGTTTATGTACTTCTGAGGTACGCCTTTCAATGACAGACACTGCCACAGAATCTCGCGGTCTACCGAGTCAAATGCTGCTTTTAAGTCAAGAAAGACCACCATTGTCGGACGCCGATAAGTATGCCTGTGTTCTAGAACCTGACGAATGGTGAATATGTGGTCGATGCAGCCACGACCAGGTCTGAAGCCAGCTTGATTCTCTCGTGTTTGCAGTTCACGAGTCTTAGTTAGGCGTCTGATAATTATCGAGGCTAGTATTTTAGATACTATATTAGTTAAACTAATCCCTCTATGGTTGTTACAGGATGATTTTGACCCTCTCTTATATATTGGGACGATAAGTGATTGCGACCAGTCAGATGGAATAACGTCTAACTCCCAGATCTTAGCTAAAATATTAGTCAACCTAATCGCTAAAATTGGACCACCATCCTTAAAGACCTCTGGAGCCAATCCATCTGGACCAGCTGCCCTTCCTCGTTTCAGATTAACTATAGCCTTTTGAACTTCAGCTGGAGTTGGGGGACCTACTTCAATGTTCCATTCACACTGTCTGGGAATGGAGGGTAGTTGTAGAGTAGCTGAAGGCCAGCTGAACTGTTCTCTGAAATGTTCCGCTCATCGTTCTAAACGTCTGGACTGGGAGCAGATGAGCATGTCGTCTTTTTCCGAAATAGTCTGACTTACACTTGACTTATTAATTCCAGTTTCTTTTATTAGTCTGAAGAGCTGTCTTGTGTTCCCTATAGCCGCCGCCTTTTCCATCTCTTTTGCTTTCGTTGCCCACCACTGCTCACGGTCGTTCCTTAGACTTTTGCCTAACCTAGATCTGATTTGTTTTCGCTCTTCATCGTGTTCAGAGCCTGATGGGATGAGTTTACGAGAATCCATCAGTGTAATAGACCTTGAAGAAATCCATTGGTTTTTTGTAACCCTGTGGTTTAAATCACTGATAGATGTCACTGCTGTTTCCACAGCTGTTTGTATAGCTTTCCAAGCAACATCTGGGTCAACCTCGTTTTCAGAACTACCTAATTGTTACCTCAGTTGTTCCTGGAACCTACTTTTGGTTTTCTCGCTACTCAATCCAGTTCTAATGGGTCTTTTTACTGTGGCTTTTTTGCGTCCAGTGAGGCGCAAGCAGATGCATACCCGTATTAGGGCGGGATCGGAGTCCAAGCAGGTACTCCAGAATGAGCGACAATCTTCTATCGACCCTCTCCAACGATGACTGATGGCAATATGGTGTATTGGAGTCCATCGTTGGTTTGGTGTAAGGGGTCGCCAGATACACGGAGAGTGTATCTCGTTGGCTCTCCGTTTTGCCGAGGTGAGGTCAAGTGAATGACCACACTGGGATCCTGCATGCCTGTTTCAGAGACACAGCAGACATCAATGGTGCGAGATTCTAGGGTTCTAGCCAGGGAAGCCTGTTGACCGATTTGGCATGGGGTGCGTACGTTGAAGGCTTCAGTGTGTAGTTTGGAGCGAGGTTTCAGGAGACCTGGGACAGTGTTTTGAGCACTAGAATCGTTGGTTGTGGTGACACTTGAGGAGGAAGCCGAAAGATGAAGTTTAGAGGTGTAAGTCGATGTAGGAGGAATAATAGGAATTGAAGAGGGAGGTTGATTATTAATACAGTGGTCTTGAGTGCTGTTAGAGGTGCGAGGGCGGTTATTAATTCCTGGTTGCCCACACCGTGGAAGGGTTCTTCTGGAGGTGCCTGAAAAGGAAATTGGATTAGAGATGATCTTAGTGACCTGATAGCATGATCTCAGTGCCCAAGGGACGACTGCTTGAGGTCGGTCACACACGACCTTTTTATAGGTAATTTTTGTGTTAGCTCCGTACTTGTTGAGACCTTACCACCGGAGACGGATATCCTTGGGATGAGGAGAGGTGCTCATTTTTAGGGTCGACCTTTTCTAACTCCACTACTCCTTGTGGGAAGGTAGCATCGCTGTCATGCTGGTTGTCTGAAGGAAACACCTTACAGCTGTCACACCTCTGTACAATCAGCAGTACAACTTCGCCTTCGGACCTTAGGTTTGTCGCTTTAGTCTTAATGCTCTTCAACCGACCTGTCTGACATGGTATGACCTTGAGGAACGGTTGTTCCAGCCAGTATGGCTCGGTTGCTTCATCACGATAGGTAAGCCCGACCACCACGTCAAGGCAGCAACAACGGTTGGTAAAATTGTAATCTACAAGATGGCAGGTGGTAATGAATGCCATTTTCTTTATTTTTTGCTATTAGATGCCTTGTGCATAGAATAGTACACTCCACACCAGTATGGACTACATTTTTCAACTGTTAACCAGATCTCATTATCATGATAATGATGCTTGTCCTTATTTCCATTCACATAACATCCTGAAATGTTTAGGTAATGCTATTGTTATTTTATTTTCTAAATTTTGTTCCAGTGGTTTATGGTGCTCATCTATAGGTACCAATGTTGTTGGAGTTTTCACCACACATTCAGGCATGGCTTTTATATGTAGACACACTGATGAAGTAAGCATTGAGTTGATTTATCCGCATAAGTGCTATGTATATGGTTGGTTTCTAATATGTCTGTCAGTGACTGTTACTGACTTGGTAGGCGCTTTTTATAACCTCAGACTACTTCTACACTTGAAGAATATAGAAAATAGGCGAAGTACATGTAAGATGTTTACTTCAAGTTTCATCTACATATAGGAAATTAACTGCATTCACAGAGTTTGATGTAACGTTGGTGTTCCACAAACTGATGGAAACATGAGTATATGGTAATGCATAAGTAGCTACCTGTGGTGGATCCCAGGAAAAGTGCTTATTCAAGATATATCAATGCACAAAGTTATTAATAATATACCAAAAGAGTTAACAGTAGAAACCCTAGGTGTCTGTCTATCAGTAAAGCAAAAGGTAACAAATTACAGTTAGAATACAAATGGTATATTAAGCAACAAGGTAATAACAGTTCTTATGAAATGAAGGTTACTTGTAAGCCGCTCCCTGAGATAACAACCACAAATGAGTTCACTAAATTAACGAAGATTCCTCTGCACGTGATGGCACCAACGGCGTAATGAGAAAGATTGAATCCAATAGTATTATTTAATAATAATCCGAGCCAAAATCCAACGTAGTGTAGGAAGGCCTAAAAGGACGTTATAACACTTATAGTCTTCAATCAAAGGCCGTGGCCAATAAAGCAGAAGAACAGACGGCGGAGATAGCGATTTTTTATTTCAACCTATGCGGTAGAATATTCGTATATGCATATCCAAACAATTATAATTACAAGTGATACAGAAAAACAATAGATATTGAATAAAAATGTGGTTACATATAAAATGTGACAAATTGGAGGGAAAATGCGGTTTTTATTTTGTCGTTACAAAAATCACTGAATATACGTCACCATATACCCAATCAAGGCGTCGAACATGATCCTTCATTTTTCCAGATGTTTCTGAGAAGCTTCTATTCAATGCCGATTTAGCAAAACATTTTCAAACTTTTCATGAGTTTCTATAGACTTTGTTGAATGATATTCGTCCCTCGATTTTCCTATTGATGCAAATGAGAAATTCCTGAAAAATGAAATCTTCCTTTTTTTCTTGACTCATTGTAAAGTAGGCACTGGATGTGAAGTAAAATTATTGTTTTTGTAAGAAATATGTGGGTTATGCATAACTGTTTTCTATGATATCGATGAGTCGCTCTAGGAAGAGATCTTTATCACTCAACATTAATTTGTACGTATATAGATAATCAGGATTCATCTGTTACTACGACAACATATTTTGTTGGATAAATGTGGTTTTATGTTTGTCCTTATTGGTGAAAGTTTGTCTTCTGAACAGTAATACTATGAAGTGCCCTATTCTAAGGAACTATGGTGTGTAGAACACAATTTTCTCCTTTGATTACACACTAAGTCACACCGTCACTTAAACCTTTGTCACTTCAGTAAGAGAGAGTAGCAGACTGTTCTTGACGAGAACGCTTTTTCTGTCACCATAAGGACTGGAGAAGGCAATACACCTGTCCTGTTTATGCTCAATATAAGTCCGTATAGCTGGCTTTGTGCTACAATATTTGTGTTCTGGTTAATCATAGTACACGGTCCTCCATGCATAGGTGGATTGAACACAATTTGAACCTGTACACAAATGATTCAGAGTAGTATGAATCGCATAGTTGCTATTGATGATAGATAACTAAATGTAAATTTCATGCGATGACTAATACAATTTACAGTCCTCTCATCTGATTGGATGTGAATCATGTTTCTTACACAGTTGTGATGTGTATGTAAATCACGGTTTTATTTCCGAAATAATTTATAATACTTGTTTCCGTTGTCATCTTTCATGTAAAATGCTTAATCTTCTTTTAAGAGTCGTACATTTCACCGTATTTCTGGATACATGGGATCATGTGAAAAAGAAATGTGGATAAATACATTGAGTGTTCTATCTACCGTACAAACAGAAGGCAGTCATTTGTAAGTAGTTTGTTGGAGTGATATTTCGTATTTAAATGTGATTATTGTGTAATAGAAGTAGCTGGATAGAAAAAAACATTACGTCATAGTAATTTTAATTGTGAGTCTACTTCAATAAGTTTATTCTTATTGACAATGTACATCATGAAATCTTTCAATAGCGATAACGCGCAAAATGTATGATCTGTCTTCACACAACACTTTAAAAGGACATTTACAGTGGAAATTTATTTGTCTTACAGATATACTATTGGAACCGTAAACGCGATACTGACGATCACAGAGTCTATATGAAATCTATAGTCAGAACAAAGACAACTTGGCCTCAAACTTTATCTGTTTCTGAACGTAAAAACAATCAGATCAGTACAATAATTAAGAAAATTACAGTTATTAAGTGAAACGCACAAACATGTCTTTCAATTGGTAAGTCACATGCAACAAGGATAGTTTACAAACACCTCAGACCAGATCAACGTGGTGGGTGCTTAAACAACGACTCTATTGGTTAGTTATGGACATAACTAACATCCCCCAAGCGGACACCACGTCCAGACTTCGTTACCGTCGTGCTCAAATAATCGGCCTCTTCCAGTAGACACAGGTTCCGTATGTCCCGGCTGATCTCTTCGGTTGCTGTCTTCAGTCGAACAATTCTGACTCATTCATCTGGATTTCTCGGTGATCCAATATTATTTACCAACAATTTCGAGAGAAACGCATAAAAATGAGTTAGTATCGAAGGTGTGGGCCATTCCAATGTGAACTGCGATAATAGACAGGCAAGCGAACACCGGCTACCATGGGACTGCATCTCCTTACGATGCTCCACTGCCTTGTGGATTAGACCTTCTTGTCGAAGGCTCCAGGTGTGGCCTCCTAAGGAAACCGCCTGCATCGGTTTGGGCACCCGGCCAGTATCACAGCCCTCACATATATCAAATGAGATCTGTGTGGCGCATATGTATTTGGTGCCTCCATGTACCAATATGTATGTGTTAAAAAAAATGGCCCACACCTTGGACACTAACTCATTTTTATGCGTTCTCTCGAAATTATTGATAAGTAATATTGGATCACCGAGAAATCTGTGGACGAAAGCTATAGTTAGACAGGTCAATTATGGTCCAGATGGATGAGTCAGAACTGTTCGACTGAAGACAGCAACCGAAGAGATCAGCCGGGACATACGGAACCTGTGTCTACTGGAAGAGGCCGATTATTTGAGCACGACGGTAACGAAGTCTGGACGTGGTTTCCGCTTGGGGGATGTTAGTTATGTCCATAACTAACCAATAGAATCGTTGTTTAAGCACCCACCACGTTGATCTGGTCTGATGTGTCTGTAAACTATCCTTGTTGCATGTGACTTACCAATTGAAAGACATTATTACCCTATTATATTAGTGTGACTCATAATTTTATTCATTTCGATAAGACGCGCAATGCTGGTCGGTATGTTTGTGCGTTTCACTTAATAACTGTAATTTTCTTAATTATTGTACTGATCTGATTGTTTTTACGTTCAGAAACCGATAAAGTTTGAGGCCAAGTTGTCTGTGTTCTGACTATAGATTTCATATAGACTCTGTGATCGTCAGTATCGCGTTTACGGTTCCAATAGTATATCTGTAGGACAAATTAAATCCTACTTTTTTTAAACATCTAGATGGTCGACAGATCACATGTGCAATTTTCGACTGGATAATTACCTTTTTATTATTGTTGTATTTAGTATGCATCTGAGCGATCAGAGTCACTCCAATTAATATGAATACTGACGATTTTCTGCACATACCGTAACCTTTGAGTAAAACCTGCCTTTGCACTTTACACATTTTCTCTTGTGTTCAAGTCTCTGTGTCGATTTAGTGCAAGGCTATTAGAAGCGGCTAGGTTATTTGATCGAGGCGTTCGGTGAAAAGACTTATCACATAGATACATTGATCTTCTACACATTCCCTTCAATCAACCAACATTTTAATATATACTGTGATTTAAAGTAACTTATTTCAGAGAGCAGTATGCAACAGATAACATACAGAAAATCTGTTGTCGTCCAATTATAGGTGGTAGATCAATGTTGTTTTATTTGTCTAAATTAGTGCTCCAGAAAATCGTCACTTTGTTTCGAGTTGTGTATATCTCACTATCACCTGTGTGTTGAGTTCTTTGACCTACAATCACTGATACTTGTAATGTGAATGTTTAACGGTAGTTGTCCTTTGTGTTTCTTTTTCATTCAGATTGTATTTGGCTGAATGTCATCTTATCAATTGTTGGAAAATTCTGATTTGTAATGAAAATGGTGATTTGGTGACAGATTTTACAGTGATTTTTTATGCCTAATATATTGTTTACGTTGTACAAATGTAAACATTGTTGATAATATGTCTGGTGTTGGCTCTCGATTTCTGTGGCGTATTTCTTCTTCTTATTATTATTAATAATATTCTAATCCTTTAGTCAATATTTGTACGTTTTATTCAATCCGATGCAAAGTGTAGAACTACCGACATCATGGTGAATACTTTCTTTTCTCCTTGGAATAGCTTGATAATTCATCAATAAAAGTTACTGGATATTGTGCGAAGTTACTATCACCAACTGAAGACAATAGTTCAACATTGATCTATCTTATAATTGCAACATCAGATAATATTTTACGTGTTCTAGGATGTGCAATAAACAATCCAATCACAGTGGTGAATTCAAAACAGTGGAAACAGGTAAGACTGGTATGGAAAAAGCCAACTAGTAAATATGTTCATTTTGTGCATATAATCTTCACCTATCTGTACAAATGAATGAATGAATGAATGTTGTTGAATGTTGTTAGGCACAGTTAGTTATTTTGGTTAATTTGTCAGTTGACAATGCAATGAATCAATGTAACCCTATTGAAAATATGTAATTACTCATGTCCATGTTTGCCTACATAAGTTGAATTGAATATCTGGTTGTTTGCATGAGTTATTGATTATGTAATTCTAGAATTGTAGTTCTTCCATTAGTTCATGTTTACACAGTGATAACTAAACTGGTATTTTTCTAACTTCTCACTCTTGCTTTCTTTTCTTATTTGGTCTTTTTTTAAATAATGTGTTTCTGTGTTTGGTTGGTTTAACTTATTACCATTGTGTTTTGCAACAATTTCATCATGAAATAATGTGAGTTAGGGAACTTGGTGAAAACTATTGTGGTGGTGAGAAGTAGCAGTTTGTGCAATACTGAGGAGTTTTGTATGTGAAACAAAACTAGTACCTAGTGCTTGGTGATTTTGGGTAGTGTTTTTTGTATCGTCGTCATAACTTTTTTCAAACAATATTTCTCGAAGGAATATATTCACTTTGTGCAGTGACGATTCCGATCATACTGATGATTTTGCGACGAAATGAGCACGGTTTAATCGTGTTACTTACTTACTTGTTCCTGTTACGCCGCTCGTAAAGCGTCGGACACTCATCAGCATCCTCCATCCAACTCTGTCCTGGACAATCCTTCCCAGTTGTTTTCAGTTACTATCCATCCTTTTGATGTCTGATTTCTATTTCCGACGTTGGTGGTTCTACGGTTTTCCTCTTTTCCGTTTCCCTTCAGGATTCCAAGTTAGCGCTTTCCTTGTGATGCAGTTGGATAGGTTTAGTGTCAGTTATTATGCCAAGCTCATATACCTTATTCGAGCTTTCGGACATCCCACTCTATTCATTTTACTTGAGCCATACATTGACCTTGTTATTTATTCGCTTATCAATCTAGACTGTTTTTATATGAGCGTATATGTGTGTGCCCTTCTTATCCTATTAATCACATGTCTGTAGCTTTATTTTGTCTGACTATAAATATTGAGTTACGCTTGACTAAAATGGAGTTGGCTTCCCAGCCATCTTCCATACGGGCCACTAAAATTGGTAAGCCCGCCGACGACGAGCGCAACACAGCAAGCTACGTCGATGAAGAGATTTCTGCACTTGATACATCCGACGAACACACTCAACGGGTTCAGCTCAATCTCTAATCCGACGCACTCAGCAAAGCCTGTGCAACACGACATGGACATGCACAAATCTTATTATCTTACTGTTACTTTGTCATCATGTCAATTATCTTCATTGATACATTTGTCGGATTGTTCCATTACGATTCAAATTATCATTATATGCTTATTATAACATTATTATCAATATCATGACCGAATGTGGAATTATTATTCTTGTTCGTGCTGTCACTAAATTGACATTTTCGCAATCATATCACTCACCGAACAAATTATCATTTTATGAAAATTCCACTCCACTTTGTGAGAACTCATTGGGATATTTTTACTATTCAAAACGCGAAATTCTCCTGCTTTAAGTGAGTTCGTTCCAATTTTTCATGTCATTTTGATCTAATATTCCATTCATTCACTTAGTGGAGGTCAGCAATATATGTTATCACAACATACATTTTTAATTTCGAAATCGCCTCCTATTATGTCTGTGGATGCATCTAACTAGCGGATTAGTAACCATTACGTTCATTTTATCTATTCTTCCACGTGCATAACTACATGCTGCATCACTTATCACTCAAAAACGCTATTCGAGTACTGTAACTACTATTCTATTTCCATCGCACTGCATATCAGAACATAGAGTTTAGAGCTAGTCTCTCAAAGATACACTCTTGTTCGTTACATCCAAGTCAGTCTCATACGTCGCCATCACTAACCATATGTATTGGTATTTTCGTCATGCCTTGGTACGGTTTTGTAACAAACGAGATCGAGCGCATCTCCCTCAAACCACACAAACCACTCTAGGCTTCATGACCAAAAAGGAATACGACTCTACGTACCTCGTCTACTCAGTCACTATTCTGTTCCTCTGGTCATTCTTCTACTAATACATATTTAACGATAACTCAATGCATCTGTCATAACGCAGACGACAACGTTCACTGACTTCATATTTTATGATTATTATCAATCGCAGTACAGCAAAGAATATCACCCGTCGATGCAGTTATCATTTCACGACTTGACTATTATTATCCTACGAACGGGAACAACGGATTTGAATTCGAATTCACTCGTCGCTAGTCGATGCTAGTTATTCTGCTGCGGCTCAACAGAATATATATTTCGCATATTTCACTATTCTGTCAGCATCACAGACCAATTTCTGTCATATTCTACTGTACTCATTTTGACGATTTATTTCCCTGTCATACCCACAAACAATTTATTACTATTTTCACGATAATTTGAATCACTCATACAAACGTGTTATTTTATCGTTCAGACAATCACAGCATTATTAGATGTTAATTTTTTGTACGCTCATTAATTTGTTTATATTCGCATGTTAACATTTCCAATTTTGTCCGCGCCTTTTCTATATTCATGTATTCTTTTACATAAGTATGACATTTTCATATAATACGCTCACCCCTCATGTGACACTGTACTTTATCGAGTGTTGTACAATTTTTTGGCTACTTATTGTTAACGTTAACTTCATATCACTTCAGTGTTATTTTCGAAAACAGACATTTTTTAAATGTGCTATTTTCTACGAGGGGGCTATGTAGTGTCAGTTATTATGCCAAGCCCATATACCTTATTCGAGCTTTCGAACATCCCACTCTATTCATTTTACTTGAGCCATACATTGACCTTGTTATTTATTCGCTTATCAATCTAGACTGTTTTTATATGAGCGTATATGTGTGTGCCCTTCTTATCCTATTAATCACATGTCTGTAGCTTTATTTTGTCTGACTATAAATATTGAGTAACGCTTGACTAAAATGGAGTTGGCTTCCCAGCCATCTTCCCTTTGTGTCATTTTGCTTTGCTCTGTTTCATTCGCTTCATATACAAAGTGTATGTATTCACAAATCAATTCTCGTTATTCGATTTATTTAATTCCGTTATTGGCTAACGCGATTTAAGTCGACGATTATATACGAGAATAGGTGATAACAATCATTCGTACGATCTTGGAGTCAGATCCACGGGCCACTAAAAGGGAATCAACTATGCGAAGCGTTTTTATATGATCAAACTCATCAACATAGTTCATAACTTGCACTTACCTAAAGACATAAAATGCAGCTACTGACAATCTTATGTAAATAACCATTTCTCGTATTCAAAATACTCTCGGCTAAGCATTGTATATACCCAATAATGATACAAGTATTTTATTCAATATGAAGCAAACCGTATGGTTTATAAACCTAATGATTTTGAGGTATAATTTTTAAAAAAGATAGTTACATTTGGAGATATCTACAACCTCCCATAGTAGTAGGCTGTTGCTGATGGTATCCGACCAACAAACATTGAGTATCTTGCGTAGAAAATTGTTTATAAATACTTGTGGTAGTTGACCAAGTTTCAGCTCCATACAGTCGCACAGTCTTGACGTTTTTATTGAAGATCCTGATTTTTATGTTGTCTCGTAGTTATTTTTAGTTACAGATGTTCTTCAATCGTATGAATATTGCCATTGCTTTGATAATCCGAGCCTTCACATCTAAGCCAGATCCCCATTGTTTATCAATGATGCATGTAGTCAGTAGTTATCCTGATGAAGACATTTATTCTGGTTGATAAAATTCTAACTTTTCAAATCATCAATAAACATTGATTCATTTTATTACTGTTAACATCTTGTTTGATTAAGCAGTTATTACCTAACGATGATTTATAAATTTGATTTTTTTCGATTAATGTCAATGGACGATGTGAATTAGCTACGGGATAATTTTGATCACTTTCGTTACCTGGACAAATGTTGTTTTAGTATAGTTTAAACTCTCGTGGTTTGACAACTGCCTCATGTGTTCATAAAGTCATTCAATCGGCATTTATTAAGTTTGAATGGTTGGAGATCAACCCTGAAACGCTCTCAGTCATAAGTTTCAGATATTCGAAATTGATAATCGACTGAAGTTTTGAGGACAGATTAAATTACATTGCTCATCATTATGGCTACATAATTTCCTCCTGTTTACATAGTAATGTGCCAATGAAAGATTAAACCTTTTCAGTGACCTAATATATTCAAGTAGATTGTGCTGAGTATATTTGCTATGTGAGATGTATTTAGTTAGTAAATCTGAAGAGGCTTGTCTTGTGTAAATCTTCAGGACTCTCCATCTGAATGTACCCGCATTCCAGTGTTGATGTTTACATTAAGAATTGAGCCCTACTAATGAGTAATGCCCGGCTTGAAATGGAGTTGGCTTCCCAGCCATCTTCCATACGTGTCATTTTTGCTTTGCTATGTTTTATTCGCTTCATGTACGAAATATATGTATTCTCAAGTCAATTCTCGTTATTCGACTTATTTAATTTCGTTATTGGATAACGCGATTTAAGTCAACGATGATACACGAGAAAAGGCGATAACAAACATCCATACAATCTAAATGGAGTCAGATCATCGGGCACAAAATAGCTTTGGATTTCACATTGAATTCAATATGTTTTGATTATTGAATTCATGTTCATTTGTTCACGATTTCAAGTCGACACTATCAGTGAATAGTAGATTGTCTCATGCTCAAAATTGTTCGACTTTACCCACTCTTTTATTTTGCAACGATGGTTTTCTTTATTATTGAAATCTTTTAGTCAACCAGTCAATGAGAATGAATAAGTTCGCGGTATAGAAAAGTATAAGACGGTTTTTGTAATTAAAGTCAGGAAAACGTGAATGCATGTAGCTTGTCTATC